CAGGGACGGGAAAGCCTGTGTCACAAAACCTACTGAGTCTATGACATGGTGACAGCAGTAAGACAAGAGAGAGAGGGGTGGGTGGATTGGCATTTCTTGGACTGGCAAGAAGGCGTTTGACACAGTTCCACACAAGAGATGGGTGCAAAACTGGAGGACCAGCAGGGATAACAGGACGGCACTACATTGGTCAGAATACTTGTCAGAGACAGCAGCGAGTTCATGGTACGTGGCGAGGTGTCAGGTGGGCACTGTGACCAGCGGGGTCCCGCAGGGGTCAGTCCTAGACAGTGATGTTTCTGGTATTTGTGAACGACTTGACGGAAGAATAGACTCTGAGGTGTCCCTGTTTGCCAGATGACGTGAAGTTGATGAGAAAGGAAGAATACACTCGATCGAAGACCAGACAGAACTTACAAAATGGATCTGGACAGGCGCAGGACCTGGTACTGCAAATTGGCTCCTGGGTTCATCCACCAAGTTACACCCCCCCCCCCCCCCCCCCCCCCCCCCCCCCCCCCCCCCCCCCCCCCCCCCCCCCCCCCCCCCCCCCCCCCCCCCCCCCCCCCCCCCCCCCCCCCCCCTACTACATGAAGATTGGGGAAGGGCAAAGAAGCCCGCAGACGGAGTACAGGTTAGGGGGTCAGAGACTCAAACCTCACTCAAGAAAAAAGATCTTGGGTGTGAGTATAACACAGGCACTATCCTGAAGCGCACACCAACCAAATACTGCTGCAGCATATGGGCGACTAGCAAACCTCAGAACAGAATTCCGACATTAATAAGGAATCGTTCAGCGACCCTTAAACCCGTATACGTTAGGCCCATATTGCGAGTATTTGCGGCACCTGTTGGAATCCCACACCTAGCCAAAGCAGTTAATGAAACTAGAGAAAGTGCAATGGTTTGCAACAAGACTAGTCCCAGAGCTAAGAGGTATCGGCCTACGAGGAAGAGGATAGGGGAAATCAACCTGACGACACTGGAGGACAGGAGAGATAGGGGGACATGATAAACGACATACAAATACTGAGAGGAATGACATGGTGGACAATGGACAGGATGTTACAGAGATTGGACACAGTAACAAGGGGACACAGTTTGGAAGCTGAAGACAACAGATGAATCACAGGATGTTAGGGAAAAGTATTTCTTCAGCCTACAGAGTAAGTCAGTAAGTGTGATAGATTGGAAGCGATGTAGTGGAGGCTCGTGATCCTTAATTAGCTTTAAGCAGAGGTATGATAAGCTCACGGCTAAGGGAGAGTGACCTAGTAGCGTATCAGTGAAGAGGCGGGGCAGGAGCTCGGACTCGACCACCGCAACTCAATAGTGGAGGTACAATCTAGGTGAGTACACACATTGGAGGATGGACAACACCCCCCCCCCCCCCCCCCCCCCCCCCCCCCCCCCCCCCCCCCCCCCCCCCCCCCCCCCCCCCCCCCCCCCCTGTCAAGGACCAGGTGATAAGGCTGAGGAAAGAAGGTGGAGAACCCACAAGAAACGATCAAGAGGTTGTGAGGAGCTCAACACGAGATTTAAGGAAAGTATTTACAGTTGAGAGACAGGAAGCGACTCTGGGGGACAGACCAGATGGGGGACTCCAGCAGGAATACAACAACAAGACTGTTGGACGGACTGTACAACAGATGAGGAGGTGGTGAAGAAACTGTTAAGGGACATCGATACCTCAAAGGCAATGGGACCGGACACAACATCTATACTGTGGTCATTAGAGATGGGAGCAGATTTGTTGTGCGTACCACTTAACCACAATCTTCTACTCATCCCTGGAAACTGGGCAACTACCTGAGGTATGGAAGAACGGCAAATGTAGTTACCATTTTCATAAAAAAGGAGACAGAAAAGAGGCACTAACTATAGACTGTGTCATTGACGTGTAGAGTATGCAAAATTATGGAGAAGTTTATCAGGAGGAGAGTGGTGGAGCACTGGAACGGAACAGGGTATAAATGCCAACCAGCACGGATTCACGGAAGGCAAATACTGTGTCACAGACCTTCTGGTAGTTTTATGATAAAAATAAACAGATGTAAGACAAGAGAGAGTGGGGTGGGTTGATTGCATCTTCTTCGGACGGCATGAGGCCTTTGACCACAGTCCTCACAAGAGATTAGTGCAGAAGATAGAGCATCAGGCGCATATAACAGGAAGGGCACTGCAAATGGATAGAGAATACCTGATCGGGAGGCAACAACGAGTCGTGGTACGTAATGATGTATCACAGTGGGCACATGTGACGAGCGGGGTCACACAGGGGTCGGTCCTAGGAACAGTGCTATTTTTGGTATATGTGAACGACATGACGGAAGGGTTAGACTCAGAAGTGTCACGTTTGAAGATGATGTTGAAGTTAATGTGTGAGAATTAAATCTGATGTGGGACAGGAGGAATTCAAAGAGACTGGACAGACTGGACACATGGTCCAGCAAATGCTTGCTCGAATTTAATCCTGCAAATGCAAAGGCATCAAGATAGGGAAGGGCCACTGAAGACCACAGAAACAGAGTATAGGCTAGGTGGCAAAGATGCAAACCTACACTCAAGGCAGAATGATCTTGGGGGAGTTTATAACACCGAGCATGTACTCCGGAAGCACACATCAATCAAGATTAAATGCTGCAGCATTGGGCCTGGCAAACCTGAGGAACAGCATTACGATACCTTTGTAAGGGAATCATTTCAGACACTGTACACCGTGTATGCTCGGCCCATTACTGGAGTATGCAGCCACCTGTTTGGAACCCGCACTTGTAAAGAACGGAAGTACTAGAGAAAGTACCAAAGGTTTGCGACAAGGTTAGTTCCAGGAGCTAAGGGGAATGTCATTGATAGAAAGATTAAGGAATCGCCTGACGACACTGGAGGACAGGAGGGTCAGGGGAGACATGATAACGACATATAAAATATGCGGGAATAGACAAGTGGACAAGGACAAGGATGTTTCGGGAGGGGACCACAGAAAAAAGAGTCACAATTGGAAGTGAAGAAACAAATGTGTCAGAGAGGATTGTAGGATGTATTTCTTCAGTCATAGAGTGTAAGGCAGTGGAATAGCTAGGAAAATGACGTAGTGGAGGCAGGAAACCATACACAGTTTTAAGACGAGGTTTGATAAAGATCATGGAGGCGGGGAGAGAGAGGGCTTGTAGCAACAGGTGAAGAGGCGGGGCCAGGAGCTAGGGAATCGAACCCCTGCAACCACAATTAGGTGAGTACAAATAGGTGAGTACACACACACACCCAAACACACACCACAACAACACACACACACACCACACACACACATACACACAAGAAGTAGAGGACCAGGCGGTGTAAAGAAAGGTACACAAATAAGCCCGGCACATATAAGAGGAAGCTTACGACGACGGTTCGGTCCTACTTGAACCATTGGTCCAAGTCGGAACGAAACGTCGTCGTCGTATGCTTCTCTCTTTTATGTGCGGGTTTCTTGAATGTATCGTTCCAGTCACGGTATTGTGCCTTTTGTTTTTTACTAACAGGAAGAATACCTGAAAGGAAGGCAAACAACGAGTCGACGGTAAGGTGACGAGAGTGTCAAAGTGACGTCTGTGACGACGCGGGGTTCCACAGGCGATCAGTGCTAGGACCGTGGTGTTTCTGTATAACGGAATGCATGATGGAAGGGATGGATGCAGAAGTGTCCCTGTTTGCAGACGATGTTGTAAGTTAATGAGGAGAATTCGATTGGTGAGGATCAGGCAGGACCACAAAGGGATCTGGGACAAAACCTGCAAGCTGTGTCCAGCAACTGGAGTTTAACCCACCATGTGCAAAGTACATGAATATTGGAAGGGTAAAGGAAGGACTCCAGAGGACAGGCCATGCAAGGCCAAACTCATCAGGAAAAAGTTCTTAGGGTGAGTATAATACCGAGCACATCTGAGGTGCACATCACAACCAAATAACTGCTGCAGTATATGGGCGCCTGCAACCTAACAAAAACATTTCAAACACACAGTAAAGAACATATGAATGTAGGAACACTGCAGAAGGCCTACTGGCCCATACACTTTTAAACCCACACGCAACACGTTATACCACACGTCACCACTGTTGTACCACACGTCAACCCTGTTATACCACACGTCAACACTGTTATACCACACGTCACCACTGTTGTACCCCACGTCACCACTGTTATACCACACGTCACCACTGTTATACCACACGTCACCACTGTTGTACCCCACGTCACCACTGTTGTACCCAACGTCACCACTGTTGTACCCCACGTCACCACTGTTATACCACACGTCACCACTGTTGTACCCCACGTCAACACTGTTGCACCACACGTCACCACTGTTGTACCCCACGTCACCACTGTTGTACCCCACGGTACCACTGTTATACCACACGTCACCACTGTTGTACCCCACGTCACCACTGTTATACCACACGTCACCACTGTTGTACCACACGTCACCACTGTTGTACCCCACGTCAATACTGCTGTACCCAACGTCACCACTTTTGTATCCCACGTCACCACTGTTGTACCCCACGTCACCACTGTTATACCACACGTCACCACTGTTGTACCCCACGTCAACACTGTTGCACCACTGTTATACCACACGTCACCACTGTTGCACCACACGACACCACTGTTGTACCGCACGTCAACACTGTTGTACCGCACGTCAACACTGTTGCACCGCACGTCACCACTGTTGTACCGCACGTCAACACTGTTGTACCGCACGTCAACACTGTTGCACCGCACGTCACCACTGGTATACCTCACGTCAACACTGTTGCACCACACGTCACCACTGTTGTACCGCACTTCAACATTGTTGCACCACACGTCACCACTGGTATACCTCACGTCAACACTGTTGCACCACACGTCACCACTGGTATACCTCACGTCAACACTGTTGCACCACACGTCACCACTGTTGTACCGCACGTCAACACTGTTGCACCACACGTCACCACTGGTATACCTCACGTCAACACTGTTGCACCACACGTCACCACTGTTGTACCACACGTCAACACTGCTGTACCCCACGTCACCACTGTTGTATCCCACGTCACCAGTGTTATGCCACACGTCACCACTGTTGTACCACGCTGCAGGTCACCAGTAACTCAGGGTAGGACAGGAGAGACACACACACACTGCAGTAGTGAGCAACACTGCATTACTCCCCTCACACTCACCCCTCCCTCTCTCTCCCCTCTCTGTATCCGTCTCCCCTCCCTCTCTCTCCCCTTCCCACAATGGAAGTATCACACCCTCATTGCCATGTTGAAGTCTAACAGGTCAGGCTGAGTATGTACACCTTGTATGAGCACCCTCCTGTGTCATGGAATGTAACAAGGCAGCAGAGCTAGCTTTTGTTCCCACTGTGTTATTGTATTATAGAACAGTCTAACAGAACACTGTCGCTGTTATTACAATGTAACTATCATACAGACTGGTGTAGCAACACACCACTGGTGTTCCCATAATATAACTATCATACAGACTGGTGTAGCAACACACCACTGGTGTTCCCATAATATAACTATCATACAGACTGGTGTAGCAACACACCACTGGTGTTCCCATAATATAACTATCATACAGACTGGTGTTGCAACACACCACTGGTGTTCCCATAATATAACTATCATACAGACTGGTGTTGCAACACACACTGGTGTTCCATATTAACTATCATACAGATGTGTAGCACACACGTGTTCCATAATATAACTATCATACAGACTGGTGTAGCAACACACCACTGGTGTTCCCATAATATAACTATCATACAGACTGGTGTTGCAACACACCACTGGTGTTCCCACAATATAACTATCATACAGACTGGTGTTGCAACACACCACTGGTGTTCCCATAATATAACTATCATACAGACTGGTGTTGCAACACACCACTGGTGTTCCCATAATATAACTATCATACAGACTGGTGTTGCAACACACCACTGGTGTTCCCACAATATAACTATCATACAGACTGGTGTTGCAACACACCACTGGTGTTCCCATAATATAACTATCATACAGACTGGTGTTGCAACACACCACTGGTGTTCCCATAATATAACTATCATACAGACTGGTGTTGCAACACACCACTGGTGTTCCCATAATATAACTATCATACAGACTGGTGTTGCAACACACCACTGGTGTTCCCACAATATAACTATCATACAGACTGGTGTAGCAACACACGACTGGTATTCCCACAATATAACTATCATACAGACTGGTGTAGCAACACACCACTGGTGTTCCCACAACATAACTATCATACAGACTGGTGTTGCAACACACCACTGGTGTTCCCATAATATAACTATCATACAGACTGGTGTTGCAACACACCACTGGTGTTCCCACAACATAACTATCATACAGACTGGTGTTGCAACACACCACTGGTGTTCCCACAATATAACTATCATACAGACTGGTGTTGCAACACACCACTGGTGTTCCCATAATATAACTATCATACAGACTGGTGTTGCAACACACCACTGGTGTTCCCACAACATAACTATCATACAGACTGGTGTTGCAACACACCACTGGTGTTCCCATAATAAACTATCATACAGACTGGTGTTGCAACACACCACTGGTGTTCCCACAATATAACTATCATACAGACTGGTGTTGCAACACACCACTGGTGTTCCCATAATATAACTATCATACAGACTGGTGTTGCAACACACCACTGGTGTTCCCACAATATAACTATCATACAGACTGGTGTTGCAACACACCACTGGTGTTCCCACAATATAACTATCATACAGACTGGTGTAGCAACACACCACTGGTGTTCCCACAACATAACTATCATACAGACTGGTGTTGCAACACACCACTGGTGTTCCCATAATATAACTATCATACAGACTGGTGTTGCAACACACCACTGGTGTTCCCACAATAACTATCATACAGACTGGTGTTGCAACACACCACTGGTGTTCCCACAATATAACTATCATACAGACTGGTGTTTGCAACACACCACTGGTGTTCCCACAATATAACTATCATACAGACTGGTGTTGCAACACACCACTGGTGTTCCACAATATAACTATCATACAGACTGGTGTTGCAACACACCACTGGTGTTCCCATAATATAACTATCATACAGACTGGTGTTGCAACACACCACTGGTGTTCCCACAATATAACTATCATACAGACTGGTGTTGCAACACACCACTGTGTTCCCACAATATAACTATCATACAGACTGGTGTAGCAACACACCACTGGTGTTCCCACAACATAACTATCATACAGACTGGTGTTGCAACACACCACTGGTGTTCCCATAATATAACTATCATACAGACTGGTGTTGCAACACACCACTGGTGTTCCCACAATATAACTATCATACAGACTGGTGTTGCAACACACCACTGGTGTTCCCACAATATAACTATCATACAGACTGGTGTTGCAACACACCACTGGTGTTCCCCAATATAACTATCATACAGACTGGTGTTGCAACACACCACTGGTGTTCCCACAACATAACTATCATACAGACTGGTGTTGCAACACACCACTGGTGTTCCCACAATATAACTATCATACAGACTGGTGTTGCAACACACCACTGGTGTTCCACAACATAACTATCATACAGACTGGTGTTGCAACACACCACTGGTGTTCCCACAATATAACTATCATACAGACTGGTGTTGCAACACACCACTGGTGTTCCCACAACATAACTATCATACAGACTGGTGTTGCAACACACCACTGGTGTTCCCACAATATAACTATCATACAGACTGGTGTTGCAACACACCACTGGTGTTCCCACAACATAACTATCATACAGACTGGTGTTGCAACACACCACTGGTTTTCCCCATAATATAACTATCATACAGACTGGTGTAGCAACACACCACTGGTGTTCCCATAATATAACTATCATACAGACTGGTGTAGCAACACACCACTGGTGTTCCCACAACATAACTATCATATACAATAGTTTAGCAGGACACTTCTGGTGTTCACAATTTTGTTTAATAAATGAAATTGATTAACCATTAAATTTGACATAAGTCACATGGCGCCTGTGTTGTCTGCACACACACGCACACACACACACACACACACACACACACACACACACACACACACACACATACACACACACACACACACACACACACACACACACACACACACACGACAAAGACAGGATGTTCCATAGATGGGACACAGAAACAAGGGGTCACAATTGGAAGTTGAAGACTCCTATGAGTCAAAGGGACGTTAGGAAGTATTTCGTCAGTCATAGAGTTGTCAGGAAGTGGAGTAGCCTAGAAAGTGACGTACTGGAGGCAGGAACCATACATAGTTTTAAGACGAGATTTGATAAAGCTCATGGAGAAGGGAGAGAGAGTAGCAATCAGTGAAGAGGCGGGGGCCATGAGCTATGACTCGACCCCTGCAACCCCAAATAGGTGAGTACAAATGGGTGAGTACACACACACACACACACACACACACACACACACACACACACACACACACACACACACACACACACACACACACACACACACACACCATAGATCCTGAAAGAGGGAGCAGAGGCACTGTGATACCACTAACAACAATCTTCAACACATCTATACACATACTATACGTGTCACTGACACGTCTAGTATGTAAAGTCATGGAAAAGCTTATCAGAAAAAGACTCGTGGAGTACCTAGGAAGGAAGGAATGAGCTTATAAACGATAACCAGCATGGTTTCAAGGAGGCGAAATGTTGTCTCAAACCTACTGGAGTTTTATGTCAAGATGGCAGAAGGCAGAATGGAGAGAGCCTATCCACCTTATCAATTCCTCTCAGTATTTTATGTCACTATCATGTATCCCTTATTCCTCCTGTCCTTCAGTGTCGTCAGGTCGATTTCCCTTAACCTCTCCTCGTAGGACATACCCCTTAGCTCTGGGACTAGTCTTGTTGCAAACCTTTGCATTTTCTCTAATTTCTTGACGTGTTTGACCAGGTGTGGGTTCCAGACTGGTGCTGCATATTCCAATATGGGCCTGACGTACACGGTGTACAGAGTCTTGAACGATTCCATACTCAGGTGACGAAACGCTATTCCTAGGTTTGCCAGGCGCCCATATGCTGCCGCAGTTATTTAGTTGATGTGCGCCTCAGGAGATGTGCTCGGTATTATACTTACCCCAAGATCCTTTTCCTTTCAGTCTTTAGCCCCCTAGCCTGTACTCTGACCTTCCCCAATCTTCATGACTTTGCACTTGGTGGGGTTAAACTGGAGCCAGGCCTGCAGCCTGTCCAAGATACCTTTGTAGTCCTGCCTGATCCTCATCCGATTGAATTCTCATTAGCTTCACAGCGTCGTGTGTGTGTGTGGTGTGTGTTTGTGTGTGTGTGTGTGTGTGTGTGTGTGTGTGTGTGTGTTTGTATGTGTGTGTGTTGTGTGTGTGTGTGTGTGTGTGTGTGTGTGTGTGTGTGTGTGTGTGTGTGTGTGTGTGTGTGTGTGTACTCACCTAGTTGTACTCACCTAGTTGAGGTTGCGGGGGTCGAGTCCGAGCTCCTGGCCCCGCCTCTTCACTGATCGCTACTAGGTCACTCTCCCTGAGCCGTGAGCTTTATCGTACCTCTGCTTAAAGCTATGTATGGATCCTGCCTCCACTACATCGCTTCCCAAACTATTCCACTTACTGACTACTCTGTGGCTGAAGAAATACTTCCTAACATCCCTGTGATTCATCTGTGTCTTTAGCTTCCAACTGTGTCCCCTTGTTACTGTGTCCAATCTCTGGAACATCCTGTTTTTGTCCACCTTGTCAATTCCTCTCAGTATTTTGTATGTCGTTATCATGTCCCCCCTATCTCTCCTGTCCTCCAGTGTCGTCAGGTTGATTTCCCTTAACCTCTCCTCGTAGGACATACCTCTTAGCTCTGGGACTAGTCTTGTTGCAAACCTTTGCACTTTCTCTAGTTTCTTTACGTGCTTGGCTAGGTGTGGGTTCCAAACTGGTGCCGCATACTCCAATATGG